GCTGTCTGTGGAGGCCCAGGGGATGAGCAGACACCAGCACATGACAGTGAGGGAGACTGGCCTCGGCACAGGACGAGAACCTAGAAAACAGTGTCCTGAAACTTCAGTGAAGAAAGTATTTCAACAAGAAAGAAACTGTCATGCAGCTAACAGGTCAAGTGAGATGAAGACTGAGAAAGCATTAACATGGGAGTCGCTGGGAGCAACCCGGGGCACACAAGCCCACGTGGAGGCATTCATGCAAAACAGGAGAAGAGAGATTGGAGACATCAAGCACAGACAACGCTTTCAAGGACTGACACTATAAAAAAAACTGAGGTGGTACTTAGAGGGAGACAGCGGCCAACAGGTCACACAGCACACCCTGACCCACCTTGCCCAGAGCATCTAGTGAGAATTCACAACTACTGAAAAGAAGCCTATTTTTCTGGAAGCCTTAGTTAACAGAGGAAATCCACACCAGCTACCCCATCACTCTGTCCTAAATATGAACGGAAAACCACGGATCACCAAGAACATGGTGAGAACAAGCAGCAGGAAAGAGCAATACCAACAGCAGGAAAACTAAGACAGCAGATAAGTCAGGGGACAGAAAAAGGAATTCATTAAGATATATTATTAAATAGGAAGAAATATGCTATAAAAATTGAACAAAACAGCATTTTTGCAATTAAAGACATAATAACCAAACTAAAACATTCAAAAAAGGGTTTGAAATTGAAATCCAAGAAACCAGAACAGGAAAAAAAAAAATGTTACCAAAAGTATAAGAGAAAAGATATGAGATACAGAAGACCATGCAAAAGGTTCAACATCCAACTAGCGGGAGTCCCAGAAATAAAGAACAGAGAAAGTAGAAAGGAAAAAGTTTACCCAAGAAATATTGGCAGAAGCAATGCACACAAATCTTTAAAAGAGCCTGAGTATCCACCACCGTGGCTGAAAAAGACCCAACCTAGATGCCATCTCACAAAAGTTCCAAACATCAAGGACAAAGGAATCCTTCTAAAAACTTTCAGGAACCAAAAAAAAAAAGAAAGAAAAAGAAAAAATCATCTACAAAGGAACGAAGAGACTAGCCTTCTCATCAGCAACACTTCCTATTAAAGGCAATGAAGTGATGCCTTCAAAGTTGTAAGGAAAATATTTTGACCACGTCTTCTAGACCCAGCCAGAAATGAATCAATCCAATGTGAAAGTCAAATAAAGAAATTTAGATGGTACAGCTTTAAGAAGGAGGGCTGCTTAACTCATCAACTATGAAGTAGGCAACAATATTAAGCCACTGAAATCTGAGGAACTAATATAAAGAGTCAATAACTTCCATCTAATGTTGATAAATTTAGAAACACAGCACAAGCTGGTTAAAGAAATAACCATCAGAGGAACTAAATATAGAAATAGTTAAAATAGATTCTCTGAAGAGTAACTTCTCATTATGAACCCTCTGTACGCCTGGGTTTGTTACCGCCTTCATGTATTAATTTGACTGACTTTTTAAAAAAAAATTTAAACACACATAGAAGAGGCTATGAATCTTTTATGAGTAATACGAAAGGACTTTGTTTGGCAGCTCAGATGCCTTTCTTACATTTCTTCCAGTCTCCTGCCTCTGCTGCTTAAGGTTGAACCTAATTATAAGTGACCTTCAGTGGTGTGACCTGGAGCAAAGCACCTGCACTGTAGTACTGAAAACCTAAAGTATCATTCTACAAAATATCCACAAGAGGGCAGTAGAACCCTATCTAATACTACCAAAAAAAAAAAAAGACGTTTAAAATTTTTAAATTCATTTTCATGTTAAGCCTTAGGACGGTTTCCTAGAAAGCACTAAATAACTGTGAACTTAATAAAAAGAAGCAGCAGCATCAAGATACAATTAAAGAATGGAAAGCATCTTTCAGCTACGTACCTGCAGTGGGTGTCTAAACAGTATTCAAAGTCTATCGTTAACACTTCCAGCAGTATTAGAAATCAAAATACACTTCATTAAATAGATGTGTGAAGCTGTGAAAGTCAGGGCCCATCCTGGACACTACTGTTGTCGTTTTTCACTACGCCTACTTCTATACCCAAGGCATCAATAACAGACTTGGAATTCGAAGTCTCCATTCTGCGGAGCGGAAGCAAGCTTCAGAACAAAGATCGCTCATGACAATGACCACCAGATATCTCCCATCAGTTGAAACTGGGCACAAGAGATAAAACCCAACTGCCATCCCAGAAAGGAAAAATGTATGCTGGAAAAAGGAAAAAAGAAGATGAAAAAAGACTAGAAGACCAATTCAGCTCACCACCGAAAGAATGCCTCTCCCAGATTTTCTTAAAAGATCAGGCAACCCAAGGAAAAATATCATAGAAAGCTCTGACCTTTGCTGTTCCAGTCTGGGAACCATAGAAAATCTTCACTCCAGACACAATGATTTCCTTCTTTGGAGGAGAGAGACAGTTAGTTGTCATCAAATCCTGAGATGCTTTTGGAACAGTTTTTTCCTGTGACTTCTTATCCTTGAAATAAACACAAGATCCATCAAGTTTGAATCTTTTCCCAATTTCATTAGGGATGAAAACGAGCACAGGTATTGACTCATTTTATTATTCTCTTAATCTTTTGATTGTATTCCTCAAATATTAACCCCTTGGTATAATCTTTAAAGGCCGGGCTCACATTTCTTAAGACTATAATGATTCCCATGCCTTCCAGGATAAAACTGTGCTTACTGTCACTGATAATGTGTTTTAGGGGAATAATAGTAGGAATATATTATCTGAAATATTATCTGATTCTTAATTAGTGGAAAGAAAAGAGAACACCCTACTCCTCAAAGGTGCTAAACAGATTTGGCATTTTCGCAAAACTTAATTTTTCATTACAAAACCTTCCTGTATCTTACAAATGAGACAACTACAGCCTATCAAAAAGAAAGTAAATAACTTAGTCTCTAAAAACTGACAAGAAAAAATTGAGGGCAGTAAAAAAAATATGTCTAGACACAAGACACAAAAGTGATTGAAAGTTCCTTTAGAATTTCTGTATTTTTCTGGAAGCCTTAGAGAATTTGCACTCTAAATTCTCTATAAAATCCAATGCCAAGTATTCTCCTATAAAAAAATAACTGCACTTACCTGTTTCCTGATGACAATCTGGAAGCATATCCAAAGGCTAAAGCCAAAGGCAAAGCCCAAATATATATAAAACCTGTTTATCCACAATGATATTAAAGGTGAGGAGAAGTCCCATGTATTCAAAGATGGATCTAAATGTAAAATGACACATACATGTAATTTTATTTAACGCTGCATATACAAAAATAGCCATCCTTATTTTAAGGGAAAAAAAAGAACCAAACTTCGTATTCAACAACCTGATTAAGAAATCTATTTTAAAAATCAGCTCTAATAAAAGCAACACACTATGTGATAACGTGATAAAATTACGATAATGCTAACGCAAAAAAAGAATATAAAATGTTATCTTCACTTGAATTTAGTATTTGAAGAAGGGAACATCAAGTCAAAACACTTTAAGTGGAAATATGAGTTAATTTTGCTTTGTTATGCTGCTCCATAAAAAAAACTTTAAAATACTAACACTAAAAGTATTCCTTTTTTTTCTTTTATTTTTAGACACCCACAGCTGCCTGCAAAGGGTTCTCAAGTAACTGACCTCAAGCACCATTTTTTTTAAGGGGAGATATGGATGGACCTGGCCTCAAATGTTGAACCTGGAGGCAATTTCAAAAAGCGAAGTCTAAAATTTGGGGTTTACAGGTGCTACGTCACCCTGGAAAGGACCAAAAGTCCTCAATACACGTGGGTAAGGCGGAGAGGCAGTTTTCTCTGCCTTTTACTTGAGGTTAGAAACATAGTTCTAAACTCGCCTCTTAGCCTCAAAAGGCAAAAGCCAGTACACAAAAGCAGGGATCAGAACTCCCTCGGCCGCAACGGCACCAGTGCCGGGCTGACAAGGGCAACATACTCCGGAGGAAGGGGCCCGAGGGTCTCAAAAAACGGTTTCCTTCCTTCCCGCCCCACGAAACTTGCCCGCCTGGGGCCCTTACCCATTCTCCTCAGAGCCCGGGCCCTATGGCCCGACAGGAGCCCAGAGCTGTGGACTTAAAAAAGTTGGCGGCCGGCGTGGATATTGGGAGACCGCCAGAACTACCTCTCAGCATTAGCTGTGAGGCCAGAGCCGAAGGAGCTGGAGGCAGCCATGCCACTCGCAGGCCCGACCCGATTGGCTCAGAGGGCAAGGGGAGGGGCTCAGAGAGGCGCTCCGCCCAGAGCTCGGGGAGGGAAGCCGGAGCGCTCCCCTGCTCCGCTCGGATTGGCTCAGAGTGGGAAGGGGCGGGCCAAGAGAAAAAGCACCGCCCAGAGCTCGAGGAGCGGAAGCTGGAGCTCTCCCGGCTCCGCTGGGATTGGCTCAGAGAAGGAAGGGGTAGAAACAGAGGGAAGCAGGGTGGAGACAGCAGTGGTTTAGGGAAAAAAAGGGGAGAAGAGGTGAGCATTGAAAGAGACTAAGGGCGTCATCAACCAAGTGCAACCTGTGAGCCCTCTTGACTCTCAGTTTAAACACACAGACTGTAAAAAGGCATTATTTAGGGGAAATTTGATTATGGACTGTGAGATATTAAAGAGTTATGATTAACCTGGGTTTATCTGTTAATTTAGATTGAAATATTTAAAGATAAACCTCTTGTGATTTGCTTTAAAATACTCCAACAAAAAAATGAGGGAGAAAGAAACAAGGCGGGCAAAATGTTAATAATTGTTGAAGCGGGGTGATGGGTATACATGGCGGGGGTCATTACGCTTTTTTTTCTCTACCGTTTTTGTGTTAAGGTTTTTCTGTAAAGAAAGGTTAAAGTGGGCGTGGCCCTGAACCCGGCGGAACAATGAGGCGCAGGCGCTGAGTTTCCACCCGGTCACCAAACATCAGCTCCACCAGCCAATCAGAACTCTATAGTTCTTTCGCGAAATAATTACGTCAAGGAAGAGCGCCTCTTTTCAAGGGCGCGGAACGATGTCGTAAAAAGGACAATGCGCAGTCGTTCTTGCGGTCTCTTCCTCGCACGGTTTCCGCAACACCTGGCGCTTGCGCAATAAGTCGGCTGGGTGTATTGTGGCGGCCCGCCGGGCGGACTTAGTCCCGGCGCCCGGCAGTCTGCGGGCGTTGCTGTGCTGCGCGCCGCCGGGTGATTACATCGAGGCGCCGGTGGCCCTCAGGCCGGCGGCGCAGCTCTGCCTTGGTTCGCTGGACCTTGGTCTGTGAGCAGCCACAATGTCAATCTTCACCCCCACCAACCAGATCCGCCTAACCAATGTGGCCGTGGTACGGATGAAGCGAGCCGGGAAGCGCTTCGAAATCGCCTGCTACAAAAACAAGGTCGTCGGCTGGCGGAGCGGCGTGTGAGTGACCCTCTCCCTCCGGACCGTGGGCAGAGGGGGTGTCCTTGGAGGCGGCCTACCTCTAGTGGTCTAATGAATGGGCCAAGCTGGGGTCTTGTCCGGGAATGAAATGGGAAACTTATTACTGCTGCCCGGGCTTGGCGTCTAAACCAAGCGTTCCCTTTTTTGTTTGGTTGGTTTGGTTTTGCTCTCCTTTGTTGGTGTCATAAAAGCTACAGCCAAGAAGCCCTTTTAGTTGTGGTCCTTCTCTCAGAATAATGATAAAGGCGAAGAGCCGTCTTTCAGGTACTTCTATAGTTAATGCATCTGTCTCAGATCTCAGCCCAGCAGTTTCACCGAAGTGCGTAGTGTCTTCACTGCTGCCATCTAGAGATCGGTATTCCTTGGCAGCAGCCGGACCCCACCCCTCAGTGATTCACACTTATTCCCACGATGTTTTTCCCCAGTGAGTAAATGAGAATAAATAGAGTCCTGAATTTTGAAAATGTTCCCTCGGCACCGAGGGTAACTTAGGAGTACTTGTTTCTTACTATTTGTATTTCTTACTATTGCCGTCTTATATTTAAATGTGAATGAACTTGGAAGTTTCAAGAGTACTACTCACTTACGACTTTCTCTCCTGTCCCCACAAGGGAAAAAGACCTTGATGAAGTCCTGCAGACCCACTCAGTGTTTGTAAACGTTTCTAAAGGTCAGGTTGCAAAGAAGGAAGATCTCATCAGTGCATTCGGAACAGATGACCAGACTGAAATCTGTAAACAGGTGGGTTCTAACAGCTTCAGCGTAATTGACCCTAATATCCATTTGCAGCCTATTTATAGATATGTTAAACTTCAAAGTATTATTTTTAGGAGTGAACAGTTATTATGCAGTAAGTTGATCTATACAACATCACTTTATTTTTAAACACACATAGGTATATTTTTAATGGAGGTACTGGAGATTGAACCCAGGACCTCGTGCATGCTAAGCATACCCTTTACCACTGAGCTATACCCACCCCCGCAACATCACTTTTAATAATTCAGGACATGGATATTTTTTGCCAAAGCCTCCAGAGATTAGATTTCCAACTACACTGCCTCATTTTTTTCCATTTGTATATTTTTAGTGTAATGTACCTGAATGTAGAACTTCAAGTATTTCATCATTTACACCTTTTGCCAAGATTGACTTTACCCCTCCCCCACCTAAATAAGTTAAGACTTTGGAACAAGATAATCCAGTGTCTCCTTTAGGCAAAGCTCAAATCATCACCAAATATCAGTAGCTGAATGTGAAATTCAATTTTCTCCCCAGTTATTAATTCTTCTGGTTAGGTAGCATATAGTGTGTAATAAAAACATTGCTTGCTTAAACTTGTTGGGGATTTTTTTTAGATTTTGACGAAAGGAGAGGTTCAGGTGTCAGATAAAGAACGGCACACACAGTTGGAGCAGATGTTTAGGGACATTGCAACTATTGTGGCTGACAAATGTGTGAACCCTGAGACAAAGAGGCCGTACACCGTCATCCTTATCGAGAGAGCCATGAAGGACATCCACTATTCAGTCAAGCCCAACAAGAGTACCAAACAGCAGGTGAGTGGTTTTTTAACGTTTTTATCCATGAAAATCAGTGTTCTCTGAGGAAAATATGAAAATAGTTGGTCTGTAATAATAAAGTGCCTTGAAACGGATGGCCCTTTTGAGGCTCATCCATGCTGTAGCGTGTATTGGTACTTTATTCCTTTTTAGGACTGAATAATAGCTCATTGTATGGGAAATAACACCTTTCACTCATTCATCAGTGATGGACATTTGGATCGTTTCTTTACTTTTTAGCTACTGTGAATAATGCTACTATGAAATTCATTACAAATTTTTGTGTGGACATAGGTTTCCATTTCTCTGTCCCCAGGAATGGAATTGCTGGATCATATGGTGATTGTATTTAACCTTTTGAGGAATTGCCCCACCATTTTCCAAAACAGCTGAGCCATTTTACCTTTCCACAGTCCGTGTACAAGAGTTCCAATTTCCCCACACCCTCAGTGATGTTTGTTACTGTCCACCTTTTTTATTATAGCCACCCTGTGGGTATCATTCTGGTTTTAATTTACCTTTCCCTAATGACTAATCATTTTGAGCATATTTTCATGTGCTTTTTGACTCTGTCTTTGGAGAAATGACTCTTCAGAGCCTTTGACCATTTTTTAGTTGATTATTTGTCTCTTCATTACTGAGTTGTAAGAGTTCTTTATATATTTTGGATCCTAGTACCTTATCAAAAGTATGATTTGTCAATATTTTCTCATATGCTATGGGTTGTCTTTTCACTTTCTTGATAGTTTTTTGAAATAACAAAAGTTTTTAATTTCTAAGTCCAATTTATCATTTTTTTTCTGATGGTGGCTTACTTTCTTCATGGCATCTAAGAAACCACTGCCCAGTCCAGCAAAACAGAAACTGCTTTGTTTTTGAATACCTTCCTCAGCCGTGCAGCAGAAGCCTCAAAGAAAATGCAGACGTTTTCAATTATGTGTTACAGGCTTTGGAAGTGATTAAGCAGTTGAAGGAGAAAATGAAGATAGAACGCGCTCACATGAGACTTCGGTTCATTCTTCCAGTGAACGAAGGGAAGAAGCTAAAAGAGAAACTCAAGCCACTGATCAAGGTTGTAGAAAGCGAAGACTACAATCAACAGTTAGAAATTGTAAGAATATACTCTTACTTCTTTGCTTCTGTGTCACCAAAATTGTTTATTCTCTAGTCATAAATGTGTAACATTTAGAAGGTTTGAACAGTAAGATACTTCTAGAAACATCTTAACTAGAATTCTGTAAAAAAAAAAAAAAAAGGTCAAGGTCTATATAAAACCAAATTATACTTAGTGCATTTATGAATTTTTTGTTTTTTAGTTCAGTTACTCATGATAAAATTGTGTTGTCGTGCTCGTTTTAGATGAGAGGATAAATTTTACAATGAATCTTCTATTATGAGGAAACTGGACTAAAAGTTCGTCAGTCTCATTTACCACAGAATGTTTTTAAGAAACAGCAAAGACATCGTGTGTTTGGGTCCTCACCCGACAGCTTCAGACACAGAGTAAACCCAGCTGTCTGCAAACCCATGTCTTCAGAGCATTTCTGCTTCTTGACAAATAAACGTGCTCTAGAGGATTGTTGAGCTTTCCGTTCTAGATGTGAAACAACACATCTGACACTCTTTGAAGTTCTGAAACCTTTGCAAAACTTTGCACATGGTTTCTAAATAGGCCTTCCAGCTTTTTTTTTAATTCCTTCAAATGAGGGTAAAAAGAAGTGATTTCATTGAACTATAAATGTTAATGCTAATTTTAGTATGAAAAGGACCGTAGTCTTCTAATCCAGCCACTTCGTCTTACAGCTGAGGAATCTGGAAAAGTCCTCAGTAGGGAGGTTAATGCCTTGTCACGGGGGCCTATGTGCCTACTTAAGGGCAGAGCTGGACTAGAACCCACTCCGCTGTCCTGTGCGTTGTCTTACCCGATGCGCCACTGAACTGTAGTGGTAGAAAGGCCTTGAAAGTATCTGTAGTGGTAGGGGAGTCTGGAAAGTATGGTGTGTTCGTCTCAGAGGTCGTTAAAGCTGGGTTCATTGTGTTGGATTGCTCTTCCTCATGTGGTCAACAGCTGTGTTACATGTTTCAGGTGTGCCTCATTGACCCTGGCTGCTTCAGAGAAATCGATGAGCTAATAAAAAAGGAGACAAAGGGCAAAGGTTCTTTGGAGGTACTCAATTTGAAAGACGTGGAAGAAGGAGATGAGAAGTTTGAATGACATCCATCAGTCTCCTCGGATGTCAGACACTAAAGCCTTTTCATTTCCCACAGTCCTCTTTTCTTTCTGTGATCTGCCACATACTTGCTCAGACAATTTGACATTTTCCATCTGGGTGGTAAAGGTGTGTACCAAGACTTTCCTAAGTATTATAATGTGGGGTTAATTTAGTTTTAATTATAAAAAGGGGTTTAGGCAAAAATGAGAAATCCAAGATAAAAATTCCAGAGTAGCATTCTGTTGCTGCCTCATGCCTTTGTAGCTTTCCAGGGTGAAAGTTACTGGAGACAATCTTTGTGGGTAAGAAGTTAAATTTTGTACATTATAAGAAGATAAATTTGGGAGAATATAACTGTGTGACAGAAAAGGGAGTATTTGCCAAAAAAGAAAACATACAACATCTTCTACTGATGAAATGTGTGTGTAGGGGTAGCTGACCTAATATAAGGCGTGGATGATGACTTCCAGATGATCTAAGAGCAGGCATAGGGTGACTATAGGACTTAAATAATACTCATCAAACATGCTAATGTAACCTAGATTATTCTTCATAAAAAAGTCATTTGTTTCTAATTCTTAAAGTTTATAATATATATTATTATAGTTGAAATGATATATAATCAATAAAACCAGTTTTTATTTTTGTTAAACTATGGCTTGTATTTCTAGACAGCTTCCTAACCCCCTTTCTTTTCTCTGCCTCTTATCTGGTAGGATTGGAGAGTTCTTAGCAGGATTAAGCGAGTCTGTGCAGGGCCTGTTCAGTTAAATACCCAGTAAATCTTAGCTAATATTATTTGGGATGTAATTGAGCTTAAGTATTTTAGTATTTGAACCCTTAAATGGACAGTGTGCAAGTTTTTTGAAACCTACTTAACCTAAAAAGACAGTCTAGAATATAAAGTAGGGTTTCACTCAAAATAAACATACAGATGTATTTTGTGGACAGTGATTAACCGAGAAAGAGTTGTGACTTGAACAGGTCCTGATTGGTTTTATAAGCACACAGAATTCACTGCTAATACAAGTTCTCAGAAGTGCCCCATTTTACAATAACTTCGATTGAAATTATGAAGTCAAGAGTTTTTTCTTGTAGTGTTAGAAGAAATATTCTTGTTTGATAACACAGGAACACATACTTTCTGTTAAAATCTGAAATTGAACTACTGTTTTGACATGATCTTTAAGATGACCCCTCACTGATTCCATTTTACTTACGTAGTTGGTTGTTTTACAAAGATGATCTAAACTTGAGGTCCCAGGAAATAATTTCAGCCAATGAAGTTTACACTTACTTTCTCGTTTAAACTGTTAAAGCAGAGTTTTCAGGTTGAAAGTCATAATTATTACAAATGTTCAACAGCTGCATCTCGAATAGAAAAAGATGTGTTATTACAACGTTGCCTTAAGTTTTTCTCATTGTTATACTCATTTCTTCCAAAAAGCTGGAATTTCAAGAAATGTCAAATGTAGATCACATCTGAGTCATGTTTCTGAACCCATAAAAAAATAAAAATTTAAAAATTACCTTATATTAACCTCTTTATTCAAAAGCAGTTTAAAATTTTGGTTCATAATCATCTTCCCAGTACCACTGCTATAGTGGATTACCTTAAAATTTTTTCCGTTTATTCTGGTTTTTCAACACCAGCTTTGGAATACGTGTCTGTGGAGTAATAAACAAGCTAGCTCGTTGGGGGGAGGGGGGCATGCCATCAGAAGTGAGGATGGGTGATGACAGATTTGGCTGGCTAATGACCTTTGCAAATCCATCACTAAAGCTCGACTGAGTTTGTTTCAGCTGAGCCAGAGCCTCCGCCCGGCTCGTTCCCATGCACGCTGGTGTGCCACTGGCTGGTATCCGGTCTGCACAGACCCCCTCAGGGCATTTGTCTCTGCTTGCAGGCAGCCTCTCACGTTTGCCCCAGGGTGTCCTACACACATATTCCATGGGCTGTGGTGGGAGACATTGGGTGCAGTCATTCTTAAACAAGGAATAGACACACACATGATTTTAACCTGCGTGTACCTTCAAGCCCAAATCAGGAGGTCCCTAGGATTTTGGTAGTAGTGAGCTGCCTTATTGATAGTCTTCTGCATACCTGCGCATAGATGACTGAAACTCAAGGTACTGACTATCTGAAAATATTTTTCTGCTGCTGCACATGAGAGGTGGTTGTGGATACACAGTCTGCCAGTAACAGCATTTGATGGCTGTGATGATGAAGGCCATTGATTTTCATCTCCACGTGTATATTAATGGGACGTAAAAAACCAGCAAGTCTACGTGTAGTTGCATAGTGGCAACAATTCAGAGCTAAAAGTATAATCCTAACCTAATTCTTTATCAGCTGGATAGTCCAAGAACGGTTTTACAGCACTCTGAGCACACACCCTTGAGTCGCCCGGGGACCCTTCCAGACACCTCAAGAAGAGCCATCAGTTTCACCAAACTCTTACATATTTTCATTTGGCAGAGAAGGGAGATAACTGAGTTGTGAACTGAAGAAAGCAGTCACTTTTACTGCAGAGAGGAGACGCCCTGCACTCAGTACCACTCGCATCTCAGTAGATTTTTGTCTGGTGATCCACTTGAATTCCCAGAGATATGCGAGTGGCACTCTTCCCGTGGCGGACAACCATAGTTGACATGCTCTTCTAAGGGGGCCACAAGCTTATTTATTTATTACAGTTGTGCAGAGATAGAAAGGAACCAGGCTAGGAATCTTGCATGTAATCAAGGTAAAAAAGCTTGTGGATTTAAAGTTAAAACTTCACAGATTATAGAAAGGTTTTTGGACATATATTGGCATGACAAAGAGAAATAGTAAAGATATCCTTTCTTAATGAAATTTGTATAAAGATAATTGTGAGGATTGAATGATAACTGCCTGATTTTCTCAGAGACACGATGATTGTCGGGAGTTCAGTCATTGTGTTGCACATGCTGCCATAATTAAGGTTTCATAATAGTATAGAAATCATATTTTTAAAAGGGCTTGTCATCATTGCAGCTGGGATTCTGCTTTTGAGTAAAAAACAGTTAATGACACAACTATGTAAAGAGGATCATCTACGTTTCGAGATCAAACAAAAGCAGCTAGATGGAGCTTCTCCAAATACGGAGGATTTAACTTGAAATATTCATGAAACTTACTTTGGGGGCCCCTCTAAGAAAGACAGTTGTCTTCCAGAGCAGTGGGGACCATCAGAACTTGTAGTTTTTCCACCTTTTCTTCTTGCAGTTTCATACCATTGGGATTTGAAGTCATATGGAACATCTTTTCCATCTTCTTAAACTTACGTTTAAGCTTGAACATAGGTATTCTGTCCCAACATAGGGTCTATCCTTGAGAAAGTTCCATACGCATTTCAAAAGAATATGTATTTGCCTGCATTTAGAGTGAATGTTTGGCACAAATCTGTTTAACCCATCCGTTCTAATGTTTCATTTAAGGAAACTATTTCCTTGTTGACTTTTTGTCTGGATGACCTATTCATCAATGTAAGTGGGGTGTTAAAGTCTCCTACTATTACTGTGTTACAGTTAATTTCTCTCTTTAGGGCTATTAATTACTTTTTTGTATGTTTTGGTGTCCCTGTGTGAGATGCATATATATTAAAGTTATGTCTTCTTGATGAATTGTCCTCTTTTATTGTTTAATGTTGATGTATATAAAAGGCTTATTACTTTTTTTGGCTTGAAGTCTATGAGTATGACTACAGCTGCTTTCTTTGGGCTTCCATTTCCTTGGAGTATCCTCTTCCATCCCTTCATTTTTACCCTGTTTATCTTTAGAGCTGGTGCGTCTCCTGAGCTGCAGCATTTAGCTGCATCTTTTTTTTTTAATTCATCCAGCTACTCTGTGTCTTTCGGTTGGTGAATTCAATCCATCTATACTTAGGGTTATCCTTGATAGATGAGAACTTAGCACTGCCATTTTATCTTTTCTTGTTGCTCCATATATTCACTGTTCCTTTTTCCTTGAGTTTCTCTCTCCCACTTTGGTTTGGTGGCTTTTAATGATGTTTTCTCAGTTTCTTCTTTTTTTATGTGTTGTGTCTCTGCTCTGATTTCTATTTTGTGGTTACCATGGGATTTTTATAAAATGTCTCATAGATAAAATAGTTCTTTTTCTGCTGGTAGCGTTTTATCTTTATTTACCTATATGGGTTCCTTCCTTTCCTCCTTCCCTTTTGTGTTTTTCTTGTCTCAAGTTATCCCTCTTCATGTGAGTTTGTTCATCTGTTACCAAACCGAAGTAGCTACAGTTATTTTTCTCTCCCCCCCTTTAACCTTTATGCTACAATTAGGTGTTTGAAAATCAACTCTGATAAAGAGTTGCAATTTTCTGATTCTGTTTATCACCTTACTCAACATTCTGTGTACTTTTGCCTTTTGTTTCTGGTAGAAGAGTTCCTTTCAACATTTCTTATAAGACAGGTCTAGGATTGATGAATCCTCCCAGCATTTGTTTGTCTGGGAAAGTCTATTTCTCCTCCACATCTGAATGGTAAATTTGCTGGATGGAGTGTTCTTGGGTGACAGTTTTCATCTTTCAGTATTTTAAGAATGTCATTCCACTCCCTCCTGGCCTATAGTTTCTGCTGAGAAATCTGCTAATAGCCTAATAAGGGTTCCTTTGTAGGTTATCATCCTTTTTTTTCCCTGGCTACCTTGAAAATTCTTTGTCATTGGCTTTTGACAATTGTAATGTGCCTTGGAAAAGGCCTTTTGCATTGAAGTAATTGGATATTCTCTTAGCTTCATGAACTTGTATATCGAGTTTCTTCCCCAAGTTTGGGAAGTTCCCAGCTATAATTTTTTTTTTAATTTTTAAAGTGTATTTTTACTGAAGTACAGTCAATTACAGTATCTATCTCTAGTGTACAGCACAATATCCCAGTCATGCAAATACACACATATATTCGTTTTCATATTTTTAGCTAATATTTCTTTAAATAAACTCTCTGCTCCCTTCTCTCTTCTCCTGGAATACCCATTACGCTGATGTTGTGTTTCCTAAAAGAGTCGGATAGCTCTTGTAGAATTTCTTCATTTTAAAATATATTATTTCCCTTTCCTCTTCTACTTACATCATTTCAAGACTTCAATCTTTGAGCTCACTAATTCTCTCTTCCAGATGGTCTGCTCTATTTCCAGTGCATTTCCTATCAAAAGCCCAAGGACATTTTTCACACAAATAGAACAGAAAATTACAAAATGTATATGGAACCACAAAAAGACCCTGAATAGCTAAAGCAGTCCTGAAACAAAAACAAACAACAACAAAAAAAAAAAGCTGGAGGTATTACACTCCCTGATTTCAAACTATCTTACAAAGCCGTAATAATCAAAACCATGCCATGGTTTTCTGCCAATATCATGGCAGAAAACCAGATATATAGATCAACGGAACATAATAGAGAGCCCAGAAATAAACCCAACCACATATGAACAATTTATGACAAATGAGCAAAAAACATACAATGAAGAAAGGATAATTTCTTCAATAAATGATATTGGGAAAACTGGACACTGGAGAGTAGACCACTCTCATACACAAAAATCAACTCAAAATGGGTCAAAGACTCGAGTGTAAGACATGAATCCATAAAACTCCTAGAAGAAAACAGAGGCAGTACCCTCTTTGACTTTGGTCTTAGCAAAATCTTTCTAGAAAAGCTTCTGCACAGCAAAGGAAGCCATCAATAAAATGAAAAGAAAACCTACCAAATGGGAGAAGATATTTGCAAATCATGTATTTGATAAGGGGTTAATATCCAAAAGATAATAAGTACTCATACAACTCAACCAGAACAAAAATCTGATTTTAAAATGGGTAAAGGAGCTAAATAGATATTTTCCCAAAGAAGATATGGATGGCCAAGAGGCACATGAGATGTTCAACATCACTAATTAAGGAAATGCAAATCAAAAACACAAGGAGATACCACCTGACTGTTAGAATGGCTATTATCAAAAAGGCAAGAAATAAGTGTCGGTGAGGATGTGGATAAAAAGGAACCCTCATACAGTGCTGGTGGGACTACCAGCAGTGCACAAGGACCCCCTTGTAATATGGTGTGGCCACTATGGAAAACAGCATGGAGACTCATCAACAAATTAGTAATAGAATCACCATATGACCTAGCTGTCCCACTTGTATTTATCTCAAGAACTCGAAAACACTAATTTGAAAAGACATATGCGCCTCTACATTCACTGCAACATTGTTTGCAATGTCCAAGATACGAAAACAACCTTAGTGCTTTTCAAACTACACCATGAAGAGATTGAAAATGCAAGTCACAAAGCAGAAGATATTTGCAATATATTACCTGAAAAAAATGACTTGTATCCCAAATAGATATTTTAAAAAATGAGATAAATACAAACAACCTAATTTTAAAAAGGGCGAAATATTAAAACAGACTCTTTTCAAAACAAGGAATACTCAAATGGCCAATAAACACAACTGCCAGGGTGGCTAAAATATAAAAACACAATTCTAAATGCTGGAGAGAATGTGGAGCAAGGGGAACTCTGATACACTGCTGGTGGGAATGTAGATTGATAAAACCACCTTAGAAAACCATTTGGCATTATCTACTGAGGAAAATGCCCTAGTTTCTGTAGCAGAAGGACAGTGACTTGGATTTGCCATCCAAACAAGACAGCACACAATGGCAGAGAGCCACTCCTGAAGTGAAGTAACGTGTGGTCGTCCACCAAGGCCTGGCTACCACCAAATGGCAAATTCTTGTTCTGCTCAGAGCAAGGTGCCAGGGTACATGGAGCAGCTCAGGGTCTTGGCCAAAGGGACCAGGATGCAGTAAGAATCAAGGTGGACCATCATGGTAGGAGACATTTTCAGCCCAGAGGGCCTCTGAGCTGTTAACCTATGGGTCCCAGGACGTCATGCTCCAGCATTTGGGATGAAGGGGCGGCACCATCGGGAAAAGACAGAGGCATTGCCAACCCAAAGGCCCCTCACCCACTGCACACTGCAGCCCCGCACGTGCCGCTTGGTCCTGGGAACGCATACATTATACCTGCTCCTTGTCAAGTCCGAGGGCGTCTTAAACAGCTTACAGGTCCCAGCACGACCACAGTGCTGGGAAGTGGTAAAGGTGGAAACAGCAGGGGCTGTGAGGAGACAGGCTCTGAGTACAGTTAATGAATTCAGAAAAAGGTGAGGTGGCTGGGCCATATGGTCCACCAGAGACACTTGAGAAGATGCTCCCGCCATTGGAGTTTTCTTAAGAACATTTTAAAACTAGGAATTAAATGACACTTTCTCAACATGATCATTGTACAGCATTCATCAGCAAATGTTTGTGTGCCAACAAGGGATACGGTGGAAAAAACTGAGAGGCCCTGCCCTCAGAAAGGAGACAGAAAAACAAGTGTGGTAGTCTTAGAACATGGCCCCACATTCTCCGGCACTCCTCCCAGGGAGAGGTGGGCAGGTCTGTGACAGCTGCAGTCAATGGAGAATGGCAGGAGTGACCTCCAAGACTAGCTCATAAAAGGCCATGTCTGAGAGGGGAGGGTGTGGCTCAGTGGTAGTGTGTGCTTAGCATGCACAAAAGTCCTGGGTTCAAGCCCCGGTTCTTTCATTTAAAAAAAAACTAAGTGAATAAATAAACCTAATTACCCTCCCCCGCAAAAAAAAAAAAATTGGGGAAAAAAAAAAAAAAGGCCAAGTCCCTTGGGACGCTTGTTCTACTGAAACTCCTCTCTAGGATGTAGCTGTAAATGCTCTCAGAAGCGCAAACCTGGTAGAAAGGCCACTTGGTGGCGCTGTGCTCTGTCCTTCCTGTACCTCGATCTGTTTCCTTCTTCAGGTCCAGGACATTTTCAGCCAGGCTTTTCCTGGCTGTGTCTGTCTTGCTGCCAGTCTTCAGTTTGTTTTCCGGGAGAAGTGCTCCACCTGTAGATGTATTTTTGACGTGTCTAAGGGGGTAGGTGAGCTTTCGTCCTCCTACTCCACCATCTTAATCTCCTATCGTGGACCAGACGGTGGTTGTGGCATCTCCCTGCACAGCCTCTGGCCTGCCACCCCTGTGGGGCCGCTCTGGCAACAGCCTGGAGGAATCCTGTTCTCAGGTGGGAAGACAAATCTCTGTAGGACTCCCATTCTCCACCCCAATAATAAGCCGAGGCCCCTGGGGTACAGCCCAGGTGCACTAGAACCCCAGCCCTGCCCTCTGCGTGGAGTGCCCTGGTCCAGAACTTCCCCTTTGGTGTCCACCTTCAAATCACACCTCTTCCAAGATGCCTTCTGTGACCAGCTCCCCCACCACCAAATGAGGTATCCCAGCCACCATCCTCTATCCCGGTAACCCTCTTCATCTCATCAGTATCTGTTGTTAGATTATAAATGTGCTTCTGTGTTTATGGACCAACCCCCCGACTAGAAGGAAGTACCAAGAGGGCAAGCATTCTGTCTACACACTGCTGGATGTCTAGCTCCCAGAACCATGACGGCATTTAAGAGGAACCCCAGAAAAGCTTGTTACTGAGTGAGTAAGAATTTGGAATAAAGAGGGTGAATGATATCAAAAGGAAAACTCGACCGTTTTCCCCTTGAACAAGGCACTGTTTACTTGCCCTCTGCTCTTGCAATGGTCAAACCACTCTAGTTAATCCATAATCAGCAAGCAGCATGGTATAAGGAGTCTGGGTCGTACAAGGAAAAAGAGACAGGCTCCCTCAGATGGTAGAGAAGTTTGTTCAGGAAGGCAGACAAGTTCATGTCGAGCTTGACTAGACCCCACAGCGCACCTCTGGTCCGTGCATTCACTCCGCTTCTCCTGGATCCCACGAAGACTGTCTGTGAGGCTGAGGAACTTCAAGGCCCAGCACACCCAGCAGGACAGCGACATAATTATGTGGCACTGTCTCTATGCTGACTTAAGGACTTGGTCTGTGTCTGATTTTACACAGGGGGAGAGAAGGGAGACGTGAGCTCTTACTCTCCAAGGGCTTCTGCGCCAAGATGGAGAGGAAACACCACACACCAATCTCCAAGGACACAGAGGGGGCGCGAATGGCGCAGAGGGTGCTGAGGAGAATGCTCGACCCGCCGGAGAGGGAGAAGGCAGGAAGAAGGGGAGGAGGCAGAAGCACAGCCCGTTAAGGTGCCGGTCCCAGAGCATCCCAGAGACTGAGCCGGCTGCCTGCACCTGCTGGGGAGGGAGCGAGGGAAGGTGCACAAAGCCCCTGCCGCTGGGAAAGGGAAGAATTCACTTGCGTGAACATGACTGCCCTTTATAAGTAACGACAAATAACTGCTGAGGGTGCATTTCCTGCCCCAGGAAGCCAAGCCCACGCGGGAACTGTCACGGGAGACGTCAGAGCCAGCCTCTGGGGACACAGGCCGAGTGCACCCGGAGGGTTTCTGTGACTGAAACACGTGTCTTTAAACCCCCATCCCTAGTCAAATGCTCCTACTGGTTTGTGTTATTCAGTCCTTCTGGGGAAGGGTTGGGTCAGGTCTGTGAGTCCTTGGGGTCCAATACACTGTAAGAGGTTCTGTGCCCTTGGGGAGGAGAGCCACATGCTGGGTGAGGCCCACTCTCCTCCTGACGACAGGGAACACTTGGAAAGAACAGCCTGCAAAACACCCTCAGTTACTTATTGTGGATATGCTTCCCTTAGAAAACACCCAACACACAGGAGGAAACCAAGACACTGCAACTAAATTCAGAAGTTTTATTCTGTAAAGCACATATGCACATATTTCAAACACAGAAAACCAATCTGGGGGTGAGTGCCGTGACAGACAGCTCCCGACCGTCATGCAGCGCTAAGTGAGATGGACCCTCCGGCCCTCGTGACCCCGCAGCACCCGCAGGAGGGCTGGAAACCCAGGATGCCGAATCCCTACACACTGCCCAAGAAAATGCAACAGAAACGGCAGGTTCCTAATGACGAGAAAAACTTACAAATAGAATCAAAACTGATTCAAGTCATACAGTGAAAGGACGAAAGGAAAAAGGAAAGAGATCAATATGATCTGAAACAACCATTGGAATAGTAAGTTGCTGACCCTTACTGGACGCCAGTCCAAGATGCCTGAGGACGAGCCGGTGCTCCTGCGCGGGTCGCCCCCGAGTGGCAGACAGGCCCTGTCTGTGACGCTCTTGTAAACCGGAGGCCCCCGGGCAGAGACAGCGGAGGACCAGGCCTGCCGGTAAGTGCCCAGGTAGGAACAGGCTCCCTGAACGTCTGCGCTCCAGCGGAAGTCTCCTCAGTTACCAGACTTTTCACCCAAGCCCCACGGCCTCCACTCCTGACCAGCCTTCCTCCGCACACCTACGGACTCGGGGTTTCCATGAGACCTTTGAGAGTTACCTGCTAGGGAGAATGCTGGATTTCAGTGTGTGTCCTGGCCTCATGACAAGTCATACTGTCCAGGCATTTTTGGCACCTTCTTTCCTCATGCCTAACAGTGTCCCTCCTCCCCTGGCTACACATTTCCATCCCTGTAATTAAAACAAGGGTGATTAACGTTAGCAACAAGTTGGGTTGAAGAAACCAGTGAAACTGACTTTTTTCGCCTGTCTTTCTTTTCTATTACTCTATCAGTTATAAATCTATTCCTGTAACTCTACTTCATTGGATTTTATTAATTCAGTAGCAGCTTAATCTAAAATCCGTTGTTGGTCTTAGTGATACTGATGTTTCTCAAGGCCAAGCCAAACAGCTCTTTCTCAATCTTATCTCAAAAGTGTCTCAGAGTCGCTAAAGAGAAAACAGGTTAGCCATGCATCATGTAAGCAACTCCTATCATAAAAAAACTTGATAGACAAGTATGATTACTGTGCTTGAAATGTACTAAAAGGAAAAAAGGAATATTAACATATCAAGTTACTATGATGATTATTTTAATAATCTTCAGGAAAAGCCCTCAATTATTTTCCAGTCAAGAATGCCTGGGAGAAGATGTTCTAGGCCAGTATATTTTAGACTGCAGGACTGGTTCTAATTTATAACAGACCACAGACCTGGAGTTAAGGGGAAGAAGTGCTGACAGTCATGCTCAAGATTTTAATTGCCCTTCTGCCATAACACTGCTTGGGAGAACACAGAAATCGTTAATGATGGTGAGTTATTAAGGCAAAAAGCTACTAAAGAAAAATGGTAAGAATACAAGTAACAAGAAAGGACTGGAAAAGATGCACAATTGTTTTAAAATGAAGATGGCTTGGAAGGAAAAAGGGATAAAGGAATTAGATCATCAACATGTTCTAAGAAAGAAACGCTTTTGGTGTTCCTGATAAATGGCAAATCAGAATTGCTTTCCTTCCGATTTCACAGGCATCATTTTCTTAATGTTACACTGATCTACTAGTTGCCATTGTCTTCTAAGAATATGACAACTGCATAAAAAATGAATGCCACAAAAAAAAAAAGGAAAGAAAAGCCACTCCCTCTTCAAAGAAAACAAGAAACCCTTCCACAAAGATTAGACCAAATCATCTTTCTTGCTTCCCATGCTGCCACCTGAAAACAGAGCAGCTAATTTTCACTCTACTCTAGAGCCATCTGTTAACTCATTTTTAAGCCCTTTTGGATGAGGAATCTGTTTTAATTTTTATCATGGAGGGAAGGGAAAACAAAGAAGAAAAAGACAGCAGAACATTCTGTGCCAACTCAACTCAAACAAGACCAAGTTCCTCACTGTTCCTGTACAAAATGAAACTTAGATCTTTACCATGTAGGTGACTTTTAAATATATAACTTTTTACTCAAGATAAAAGCACAAGTCTGTCCTAACTAGAGTAGTAGTAAAATGAGACTATTTTTTCTTCAAAGGAAAAAAAAAAACCAACTTAGGAAGATAGGTATGTTTCCTTGCAAGCAAAACGGAGAAAAGGGCATTGTTGTTGTTACTATGATTATTAAGCCACAGACACACAAAATCCACAAAATGGATTGGTGGCTTTGGAAATGCAGTATCATATCAAAGGTGCAGACTGTTCCGAACATCTGTACGTGTCGGGCTGAAACAAGAACCAAAGCAAACCTCAACCCCATTGGCAATGAAACACCCCTGGGACCTGGGCAAAGCCAGCACAGCCCGCTCCGACAGCAAGACCACAAATCCTCCCAGGTGCTACCAGACTCATCCGGCCAAGTCCACAGGTGAGGCTGCGGGTTCCGGCTGCACCCAGTGCGAAGCACGTGCATCAATGGACCAATTTCTGAATAGATTTTTATAAATATATACAAATCAGTTACAGGCACTTGAAATGTCTTTGGCTGGAATAACCCAACGTTGCAAGATAATGTATTCACAGAGTGTCCAGGCCCAGGCTGGGTTCAGCAGGCAATGATTATGGTTCTCTCGGTCTCAGGAAACGGCAGTCGTGGGATTTAGGCATCAGCCAAAGCCACCTGGAGGAGAGCCAGAGGCAACCCAGTCACACAGCAAAGCCCGGGGAACCGGCCCCACCAGCTCTCTTACTGGGCTCTGCTCCCCACCCAGCCTCTGCCCAGGGAGCTGCACCACCTGCATGTAGCAGGCAGGGGTATCATTACATCCCTAAGAAAGGAAAACTCATCCAGGAGGGGACAAACAGAAATCTAAAGTCTCCTGCAAGCAGCAGCCGATTAGTGGAACCACCATGCTGAGATACGAAGTTTGATTGGCATTCTATGAGCTGACCTCTTGAGGTGACAAGAGGGAGAGGGAGGGACCCTCCAGGTCAGCTGCTCTCTGGTGGGGATCTGAGAGCACTTTCCACAGTCGGCACAACTTCCCAGCTAAGGCTTGGGTGCATGAAAATGCAACACCATAATTGAGGCTGAGGGGAGACTACTGAGAAAAAGACAAGGACCAATCTCACTGGAGGAAAGGTGCCACCCGCAACAAAGGGGACATGACTAGGGGGGCCTTGACTAGGTGGGGCTTTCCGTAGGCAGAGGTCCCGGGGGAATGCTGGGCCAGCCCCCGCCCACTGCTCACCTTCTCAGGACAAAACTCCGGATTGCTCTGACGCAGTTTGCTGGGTCTGCCTTTGATAACCGCATAGCAGAACATTGTTATCACCATCACGAAGAGGAAGTAACTGGTGTGCATGAGGTGCAAGTTTATTAATGAACGGTCATCCTAAACAGAGAATAAACCAGAAACACCTGCACTGAGTTACTGAGAGATTTTAAAGCTGGGTTGCTGGAAACCAGGTTCACACACTCCAGACTTGCTTCAGCTGTAATTCTCACACTGGAACAGGAGGTTCTCCTTCTGTCTCCTAAACTATTCAAGCTGGATCTCATTAAATGAAGGCACAGTGTTCCCCACATCACCCACCTTCCTAAAGCGGTCGGTCCTCTGCCCTGGCTCCTGTCCCCCCAACACCGCCCAGATCCCCTGGCCCTGAGAACGCCCCAGGGACCAAGATTTTAACCCCTACTCTTCTCTTAACATCCTCCCCCTCAGCAGCCCTCCGGTTACAAAGCCGAAAGCCCGTGCCTGTGGGCCAAGCTCTGTGCTGCTCACCCACTGGGAAGGCCTCAGCTCTTCCCTCCCCAGAAGCAGCTTCCTTCCTTCAACCTTTTCCCACATTAACAGGCCCCTAGCTGGCAACACGGAGGTCATCCCTGACTCACGCCTCTCTGATCTCCCACCAAGCCCTGCCAGCTGCTGAGATCCCAGCCAAGCCTGCTCCTTCTCACGTCCCTAGGCCTCAGGCTGTGTCCCACTTTATACGCACGTGGGCAGACCAGTCTTCCTAACACACTGCTTGACAAACTCCCTGCAGCCCCAACGCAGAAAGCGACTGCCTCCTCCGAGGAGAACGTCTGTGTGCTTCAGTGAGGCACAGGGGGCCTTCTGGAACCTGGCCCCTACCCACCAGCCACCATCCAACCTGATCTCCACTGCTCGGTCCTGCAGGCCCCCAGGATACCAACTTCCACAGCTTGATAAAAATGAGACATAAGAAAAGGAAAAAGGACCTGGCAAACAGAAAAGAAATCCACCTAGCATATATGAACAGAAGAAAAGGGCATTTACAAAAACTCAGTGCAGTCTGTTAAAAGTGAGCTCCCGTCTGAACGGCAAGTGAAGCCAGCAAATCCCGCACTCGTCCAGGGTGCAGCACCTTCCGCCGCTTTCCTCCTTGTGAAGTGAAATCCCATCCAGCCATCAGTATCTAGCCAGAGTCATCTCCTATTTACCTCTCCTTTTCTAAATATCGACCTTTACCTCTGCTTTTCTACATACCGAACTGTTCACTGCTCATATTGAAACCAAGCAAGTCACCTTCAGGGAGAGCCGCGGGAGGAGTAAGCTGAAGCGGCCTCTCGAGCAGCCCCTACGGCTTAGGCAAGCGGCAGCGCTCAGGAGACAACTGCTGGTGCACAAAGCAGAAAACGAACAGAAGCAGAGTTTTCTTAACCAGATGGGTGGCGTGTTTTTCAAAGTCTCCACTTTCCACCTGGTCTCCCAACGCAGCTGGACACCTAGCAAGGCAGGGGCTAAGCTAACCTGAGGAGCTAAACAGGGCCTGCTCTAACAGTTCACACACACACACACACACACACACACACACACACACGATTTTTCTCACTTACGTCTGGAACAATAACTGTAAGCTTCGGGTTTAGAGCGTGATAGACTTTTCCAATGGCCCCCTTGTAACACCAGAAAGGATTGTAGTCTTGCGCATATTTTGTGTTGGCATCTCTGGCAGTTGTGAAGATCTTGTACCAGAGCGTGGCGTTGCTGTAGGTGTCGGGAACACAGTGCGGTGGCTGTCTGCAGGAGGAGAGGGGGCAAGACACGTGCTCAGTGGCCCGAGACATTTACTGCGTCCCCTCCACAGGCACTGGCAGAGCACTGAGCAGAGCCACATGTGTGGAAAGGAGGAACAGGAGATACACACGGTTTTTTGAGATAAACATAATTTTGTTCAGTGATTTTTTTTCTTCTCAATTTAATAAACACATAACAGAATAAGAAATAGGCATCTGACTCTTAGGAGCCTGGGTGTTAGTTTTCAGAATTCGACTCACAGTCCTCTCCCATAGGATGCGGCCAGAGAAGGACTTGCTCCTTTTCAGACCATTTTCTCAGATTATCTGAACTCCTGGTCACAACTGGAAGTTTAACATACAAACTTCTCCATTGCACACTACAACCAACAGCAAATCATGTTTAACTTACCTGATCTCATCCTAGATAAATCCCAGGACAATTATTTTAAAAGGATTCACCATAGAACTCTTTTAAATAGGCTATATCTTGTATATTCATGTATTTACAGATCAGCATCTCCTTTACAGAGAAGGGAGAGGTAAGAAAAGCCACAGGCTAATCAATAACACCGACAGCTGCTCAAAAGCTAGGAAGCAGAAGTTTCAGAAATAGTAACTGTTTCATGGCAAATAAGGTTCAAATTCGGCGGCCTCAAACACACAACAACCACGGTGTATTTTTACAACCAGTCAACACACTAACCCTCTGATATTTATATGCAGAGTTCTCCCTTTAGAATATCCTAGAGACAGGTCCCGGGAATGACGACTCTACAAAGTAACACAACACAGGCCACCCTGAGAATCTGCTCCAAAGCATCCGAGTGCTACTCATGGTAAATGCAGCTGCTCACACGCACCCACCAGGTTCAGAAAGCCACTTACACGGTGACGGGGAAGACCCCTGGGTTGGCTGTGAGGGTCATGCAGGCTGTGAACACCACCTGCTCACAGTGCCCGTGAAGGGCACAGTCGTCCGAGCTCCAAGCTGAAGGCAGGGTAAAAGTAACGTTCATCTCCTCGTGGGCTTCCCTGCCTGTGAAAGAGAAATCAGTCTCGGGGTAAATGAAACGAGAGTTCATACATGTATTATTCTCTGGGATCTGAATGAGTCCTGAAATCAAACCCACCCAAGAATCAACCACCGATCAGCCCAACGAAGTAAGACACCTGCCTCTGTGGGATTCCAGGAACAGCAGCAGTTCCAAGCCGGACTTTGTGGCAGAGCCACAACATGGCAAACGGAGAGGGGCCACTTTCAGCCAAAGCCGGGACATGCCAAGCAAGGGTCCAGCCAGGCCTGAGATGGAAGGCTGCAGGCTGGGTAAGTTATCACCCTCGTCTTAGCATCTGTACAGAACTCTTACCATTTTCAAACTGCTTTTATATGTATTACTTCACTTGAAATGTACCACTATCCCATGAACATAACCAAAGAAGTATTACTGTTACCCTTTTACAGACGAGCAGACAGAGGATCAAAGGGTCAAACAGACTTAAGAAAGGTCATGGGACTACTGAGTGATGAGGCTTAAGTGACCACCAAGATATTCTAACACCACAGCAGAAGGTCCACTCACTACATGAAAAACCCAGACGTCGTCCTTCCTTCTTACACGGGAATATTTCATCTGAAACAGCCAATATGAGGCTGACAGGCATACCCAGGTTCCTTTAAGGACTTTAAAAGGCTCTTGGTGACCAAAGAACCAAAGATCATTCTTCCAAGGCCCAGGCCTCTAGCATAAAGCCTTTCCTGATTATTCCAGTTTCCACTACTTTCTCAGTCGTCTCCTGAATCATTTACAGTCTGTCATGGGTTATTTACTAGTCAAAAGGCAGTGCTCAATGTCAAATAGGTGTTTATTTTTAATATAATTTAACAAGTACTTATATAGCATTTCCTTTGTGCCATGAACCACTGTAAGTGCTCCATAAATACTAGCTTACATTATGCTTGTCTCTCATAATCTCAAAATTCCAAAGGGAAGAGACCAGATCTGTCTTTTTCTAGTTCTCAATACTTAGCCCAGTGCTGAACTAATGGTGGGAATTCAAAAAAATTTTAAGACTAATAGCAATATTTGTTGTATGTATTAAAAATTCCAACATGATAAACCAGAATAAAAATTCTGTGTTTTTAAATACTAAGGCCATAAATGGGCCTTATAGTTTCTTCCCAGGCTCCCAGTCTTACAGGCTTTTATCACGAGCCTACTGCATACCAAGCGCTTTATTAAGATGTAACAGAAATAGTTCCTACTTGACTTCATTTAGTTCAAACTCAACAAAAGGGAAGACACTTGCAAAAAATAAAAAACAGCCTGATGAGTAGAAACATTTACTCTAATATTCCATCTTGTAGTAGCTGTTGCCTGAGAAAGTCTGAAAGGAAACTGGCTAACACTCACATACCTGAGAGTCCAATCTGATGTCCTAAGATAGTCGAGTACAGATGGGTGACATTTCGAGAGTACCCTCCAAAGGGTCTGAGTGGGTCCAGGGTCAGGGTGATTGCAACTGAGATGTTAACCGGGCCTGAGTCGTCCAAGGACTGAGGGGACTGGGTGGATGTTCTGGCCTGGCCGCTGGTCATTGTGCTCTCCGGAGCTGTGGTGTCATTGGTGAGATGCTTTAATGTTTCATTCTCTGATACACACAAGTCCAAATCATTAAACCGCAGCAGAAAAGTATTCCAATCCTTCGGTAAAACAAAAGAGAGAAACAAGTGTGAGCCGTCCGAAAGTGCCGCCACTGAGACGACATGTCATGACTCTCCGTGGGCATCACATGACAGGAAACTACACCTCTGAGTCAATCATTTAAAATAACAATGATACTAAATAAATAAATTAAGTAACGATGACACTATAGCCGTCAGCCTCTTGCACTGGCATAACAGTGTGGTTTCCCAAGCCACTCTCACATTCATAGCTAATGCTGAACTCTTCACTGGCATGAGATATTAAGTAAACTGTAAGATTAAACCAACTTACTCACAAAAATACGTTAAAAAAAGTGTTATACTTATAGAAAATGATCTAGCCTCAGATTAAATTTGAAAGCTTGAACAAAAGTAGTGAAACATCAGAAGCATTAATCCAAACTCATTTAGCAGTTACAATTAGTTAATTTTTTAAAATTAAGGCTGCCTTAAAATAATTTCTCAAAGGGTCAGTTTTATACACCTTGCTTTCTCTCTGGAGAATGTGAAACTGCAGTAAATACCAGCACTCATGTACGTTTTCCCTCTTGTCACGGATTTTGGATGCCACTTTAGAACAGGAACTATTTCAAAAGGGAGACAAAGAGATGTTTTCAGGCTGCTCTTAATATCTGTATTGATGGTTTAAATCATAAGCAGTTTTAAACTGATACCAACATAGTGAAATACCCACCAGGGTCTGTTTTAATTTTAGCAGAAACCCAAAGATGAGCTCAGGGTAAAATAGCAACAACACTTCAACCTAGGTCGTTACATACAGCTGCTTTCTCCCAACAGTATCTACAAAAAGTTGCCAGATGTGAAGACAGACCCAAGTTACTCTTTTAATATCTCTAACATTGATTAAAAAATGCCGTCTGAGCATCCCCAAGCAGTCAAGTCTAACTTTATAGCCTTAATTTATATGTATTTGGTATTTATTAAGATGACAACCAGGTGTATCAAATTACACTCTCCCTAACACCTAAAAACTCAGCAGACCATTCACAAACATTAGGGCTGAAAGTAAACATTCTAGTCTCACCCCTTCGTATTCCACACATGAGGAATTGGAGATGCAGAGCAAATTAAGGACTCTCCAATTTCAGCTGAGGTGAAGGCAAACTTAGAATTAAGTTTTCTGATTCACAGACCCAAACTTTTCCCATATACCTAGGATCCTCATTTGAAAATCACTAAATTAATCATAATCAAAGCTCTGCAGCAGCCTGCAGCTCTGCTCTCCTGCACAGCTCAATCCACTTTCAACAGTTGGCCAAAGCCAAAGTTTTGATTAAGGGCTAAATATTCAGGCTACATCTTAACCATTGGCCTTGGCCAAGTGTTCAATGTAGACTTGAGCTCTGCAGGAAAGCAATACCAGAATGCTGCAGAATTTTGGTTGTGACTACAATTTCATTTCCAGCCCTAATGTAGGTACAGCCTGTTTGCACAATCTTTAAAGATTCAGGCAGGGTCCCAAAAGAAGGAGAATGAAGCCAGCCTGTCGGTTTCTTGGTAAGAAACTCTTCGGAAGGGTTTCATGGGAGAAATAACTAAAACTTGTTACTTTGTGTTAGAAAGTTCATGTGGGAAGGGGGTCCCTCTTGCCAGAATCACCTATGATCCAGAATGCCACAAGGCACAAGAGAAAGCCACAAGCCCCATGACACTGAGCAGAACTCTCTTCTCCATCACAAGGGACACACAACGCAACAATAATGCAATCCCTACCCCTACCCCCATTCCCACTCGCACCAACAAGCACACCCAAGAAGAAAAAGTATAAAAGAAGGTACTCAAGGAATCTACTAAGACGGGAATGAATCTGTTCTAAAAGAAACTTAACCACCAGTAAATTCACCATACCATTAATTCAGCATAATTTCTAACACATAAAATAAATTTATTCATAGGTATTCATTCACCTCTGTTAAATAAGATTATTAACTTTGTATTGTTTTCTGATATGCAAAAACACGTATCTTTTAAAGTCTTTTTTAAAGGGGAGGGAGGGTATAGCTTAAGTGGTAGAACACATACTCAGCATGCACGAGGCCCTGGGTTCAATCCCCAGTACCTCCATTAAAAACAAATAAATAAACCTAATTACCTCCAACTCCCCCGCCCCCGCAAAAATAATCTTAAGTCTTTATTATAACTTTGTATATAACTGAAGTTTTTCTTGATAAGAAAAAGACAAATACATTTGGAGATAAGATCTTGCTTTCTAATTTCTTTAGAACCCTTTCTTATCCAAGGAAAAATCTATCAGTATGGCTGATCAAACTCCATGATGATGTGTGGCTTTAAAGTAACAAATGTTTACAGGTTTAAAAAATTATAATTAGCTAATTTAATATGGATAGCAAAGAAGTTAGTTCTCAATCTTCTTGACACAAACATTTTACAAATACACTTTCCAAAATACATTTCATTGCTGAAACAGTCTAACTGAAACTGATAGCATTATTTAAATCAATAACTATCTGACTAGGTTATTTCCTAACAAGTGGGTCACAGCAAGATGGAAGACAAATAATTCTGAAAAAAATACTACTCTGTCACCGGGATAAAAGTCACCAAAGAAAGGCGCGTGGAGGGCCAAAAGATGTTTTCCCACTCTGTAAACTCCTGAGTCTGAGTTTGAGGAGGCTGGAGAGGAGCACTTAGGATATACTATACCTCTGCCATTTCTGGTGACTTGATCTCCTTGATTTTGAAGAAATAGCCCAAGGTCAGGAAAGCTATTGCCATGGCGCTCACACTGATCATGAAGACCACCAGGGGAGGCCGGCTGCTGATGTACAGCTTCAGGTTCTCCAGGGGGTTGATGCTGAACATTATTCTGACCAGCTCCACCTGAAAGGGATTAATCAGAAGACTCACAGACTGGCTTGCCAAAAGAAAAGCTGACTCTCTTTAATGATATTGGAGGATGACGAGGTCACTCATTATTGAACCTGAGAACTGAGTGACCATAAAACCATTTCAAAGACCAGAAGGAGAAAACACTAAATGTTAACTGTCATTATTTCCAAGTGGTAAGATCCTGAAAAACAGACATTCTTTCCTTTTGAATTTTCTAATTATTCGTCAATGAATATTTGTTACTTCCCTATTACTTAAGAAAATGTTTAAGTAGGTCAGCAATATGACACAAATACATGTACAAAAATAGAAAATGCTCTCATTTCCTACCACCAAAGAGCTGAATTCTATTTCTTCAACATTCTGTCCTGTTCACCACCATACTCATGCCCATCCCAGCACCTGGCAGAGAGGGCACTCAGTACCTACTGAATTTTATCATCCTCCGGCTTACAGCCCTCCTTAGGCTTCCTATTGGACCCGGGGTGAGACTCTTATCAAGGCTCGCCAAGCTCAATAACTACATCTCTACCAACATTCCCTCCTCACTCACTGGGCTCTGGCCACAATGGCCTTGTTACTTTTCAGGATTAGCTTGTCAGTTCCTGCAAGGAAGTCAGCTGGGACACCGACAGCGATTACACTGAACCCACAGATCAGTCTGGGGTGTATGGCCATTTTAAAATTACTGTCTTCCAGTCCATGAACCTGGGATGCCTTTCCATTTATTTATGTTTTTTAAATTTATTTCAAGAAATATTTTGTAGTTTTCAAAGTGTGTGTTTGCACTTCTTTTGCTAAATTTACTTTTAAATATTTTATTCTTCTTGGAATTTATGAACATGTCTGACCTGAAGGCTTTTACCTCTGCCTGAACTGCTTTCCCCCCCCCAAATTTCCACATGCTTGCTCTTCTTAAAATACAGTTCTCTGCTCAGTAGTCAGCTCCTCAGAGAGGCCTCCCCTGACCACCCTCAGCCCCTGGTCTCCCAGCACCCTGCTTTACTTCCTTCACAGTTTGGTTCCAGTCAAGAGTGCAGTTAAATTTCTGTTTGTTTACAGTCTGTCACCCCTCATTTGTGAGCTCCATGAGAGCAGAGATACTGCCAGTCTTGTTCACTGCTACAGCCCCAGACCCTGGCCCCTAGACCAGTACCTGGCACATAATGAGCTCTTACAGATACAGTCAGACGATAACACTAAAAAAATAAGCAATTAAAAAAAAAACTGATGCCAGCTTTTAAACTTCAGAGAGAAAAAGATGCATCAACCGCCCCTAAGAACAAATAAACCACCACTTGCAATAAGCCAGGCTATGAACTTGCCTGTTTTCACAAGAGTCTTCAACTCAGCATTCTGTTCCTGAGGTCCATCTTGGGTGACCCAGGCCATCAGATTTAACTGCTCTGCAGGCTGCCACTGTATCACAGCTACCTCAGGCTGAGGAGCCTCGCTGGGTTCCTCCCACCGCTTCATTCACAAAGGGCACCACAGCTGGCACGAGAGTGGTTCTAACACAACGCAGCCACCGAGTAGTCACCATCTGCAACTTGACTTTGTAATGTCAGATCGCTCTCCAAGGAAGTTGTGCCAGTTTACACTACCCGCTGCAAGGAAAGAGCTCGCTCTGTCTCCCAAATTTCATGCCAACACTTGCTACTCTACAGTAATCTTGTTGATCTGGACCAATAAGAGCGGTGTGAAACTGTATCTCATCATTATCTTAAATTACATCTCCCTGAAACAGACCATCGCTTCACTTCTTTATCAGCCATTTAGGTTCTTCCTAGGTGAATCGTTGGCCATTTACCAGTAGGATGTTTGTGTCTTATTAGTGTTTAAAAGTTCTTTTGATATTCTAGACACTGAGCCTTTTCTAATCTTTTTAAAGTTATATATACCTACTCCAAGTCTGTGGATTTTCTTTAATATGGCATCTTTTTTTATGGTACCTTTTGCTATACAAAAGATTCTTACTTTTTTTAAACAGTTTTACTAATACATAATTCACATACCATACAATTCACCCATTTAAAGCATGCAATTCAATCCACAGAATTGGGCAACCATCACACTATAATCAATTTTCAAACTTTTTCATCATCTCCTAAGAAACTCCAAACCCTTTAGCAGTAATCATTTATTTGGGTCCACCTTTCTTTTTCAGTAATTTTTTAAAATTTTCTCTTGTGCATCTTATTGGATAGAGTCAAAGACATGCTAATTTATGCAACTATAATTGATAGTATCTTCTTAAAATGACATTTCCATTGTTACTAGTTCATACAACAGCAACAGACTTTTGTATATTGATCTTAATTCCAGATACTTTGCTAAAATCTTTTAAATTATAATTAGCTTGTTTGTAGTTTCTCTTGAAAGTCACGTTGCAAGCAACAGTGCTTCTTTACAACCCTTATTTCATTTTTTTTTTCTTTTTCTTACTACTTTGACTGGAACCTCTGGTGAAATGATGAATAGAAGTGGCAACCGTAGGAATCCTAGACTCACTCCTGGCTTTAAAGGAAATGCTTCTAACACTTCACTATTAAATATGGTATATGTTAAAGGTTTCTCAAAGAAATTCCTCACCAGGTTAAGTACGCTTCTATTTCTCAAGTTTACAAAGAGAATTTCAGTATAAACCAGTGTTACATTTTAATGAACGCTTTATCTGCAACCTCAGAACAACTGATTTTTCTCCTTTAATCTGTTAACATGGACTATGTTAACTGATTTTTTTTTACATGCTGACTCATATTTGCATTCACTGGATTAACAATACAATTATGACTTTAAAAAAACTATATTGCTGACTTACATTTGCTCAACTTTATTCTGAATTTCCACATCCATTCATAAGTGAGATAAAAAAAAGTTATAGGCCATTATTACACTCTCCTTGACTGTATATACTCCTTGACTAGTAGTATAACTAAGTCATTCTAGTATCGTAAGATTAATCGAATATGTTCATCTGTTTTCTAGAACAATGTGTATAAGACATTTGCTTTTACTTCTGGGAAGCCTGACAGACCTTGACCTGAAAACCACCTGGACTCCTCACATTTTTGTTTGGTTTTGTATTTTGGTAGGTTGTTTTAGCTATTTACTTATGTTTTAAAAGTAAGACTATGTTTTCTATTTCTATTGGGTCAATTTTGATAAGATAAATTATTCTAGGAAATTGCCCATTTCATTATTGGTTTTTAAAATTTCTGGCACAGTATTCTGTGATTTATTCAATTTTTACTTGTAGCCCTGTTCTTTCTCATTACAAATGTTTTTGTGTTTGTCTTCTCCTCTCTCCTTTTAATCAGTCTTATCAGAGCTGTATTATATTCGTGTTTTCAAAGAACCAGTATTTGGTTTTATAGATTCTATCTAATTTCTTTCTCAGTAATTTCTACATATTTTTAAAAATTATTTTTCTCCATCTGTTTTCCTTGGGTCAACTCAGTTTGCTTCTTCTAACTTCTTCAGTTGGGATCCTATCTCAGATTGTTTATTCTTCTTTAATGGGAGCATTTCAGAATATAAAATTCCCTCAACACATTCCTTCTTTAGCTGTACTACTTTCCCTCAACACTACCACCAATCTAATCCATCAGCAAATCTTGTCGAGTTTCTTTCCAAAATATACCTCAGGTCTACTCACTCTGCCCCATCTTCTTGTTAAGATGACAGAGACTGATCATTGAATCAGCCCTCCACATGGCTCTACAGCCCTAAGACCTTTACATCCAAGTGCCCACTACATATGCCCACACTTAGATATTCTGCAACATGTTCCAAAACTGAGCTGATCTCCTCTCCTGCACAATCTGACTCTTCCTCCTGTATTCCCCATCTCAATCTAGAACTCTGAAAACACCCCAGACTACTTCTGCCTTATACTTCATATCCAAGCAACTACTATGTGCTAAAGACTCTACTTCTTTAACATCTCTTACTTCTGGCTCTTCCTTTCCTCACTCCTCTGCTACTCCCCTTAGCGCAGGCCCTCATCATCTTCTTTTGCAACTACTGCTAAGAGTCTCAACTGGATCTTCCTTCTATCAGTCAAGTGATCCACCCTCCCTGTGCTGTCAGAGTGACTCTTCCAAATGTAAATCTAATTATGTTACTGCTGGATTATCTCAGAGCTTCAAATGACCAAGGGATAAAGTCCAAGTGCCTTATAATGGCAACCTACCATAAACTAGGCCTTGTCTACTGCTCCATGGTTTGACTAATTGCTTGCAACTCCCAGAACATATTAGGTAATATTACAGCTTCAGGCTTTTGAGTCCACTGGTCCTCCTGACCATCATGAACCACATTCCACTATTTCAACTTCCCTCTTTTAAGACTCGGCTCAGGGGTTACCTAATGTATGAAACTTTTCCCACCCCCATCAGCCCCTCAGGGAGAAGTGGCCACTTTCACTTTTATGCGCCCACTGTATTCTGCAAATTTCTTACACAGAATGAAATACCCTACCACAGCTGCCTGTGTATACATCTTACCATGCCTCTCAAGCACAGCTACAACATCTTACTGTCTCTTCATTATCAATATCTAGGCACAAAATAGGTGATTTAAAAACGTAAGCTTATTAAATGAATGAATCAAGCGAATCCAGACTTAAAACACAAACTAAAAAATAACCTAGAAAGTGATTACAGCAAGACTGCACGATACAAGGCTAACATACAATAAACAAAAGCCAACTGCTTTCCTATATACCAGGAAGGAACAAGCTGAGTTTGAAATTAAAAACATAGTATCATTTATATTAGCACTCTCCCAAAATAAACACTTAGGTATAAATCCAACAAATACGTATAAGATCTGTATGAGGAAAACTAAAAAACTCTCAAGAACAAAATCAAAGAACTAAATAAATAGAGAGATATTTCACGTTCATAGATAGAAAGATTCGATATGCCAAGATGTCAGTTTCTCCTAATTTGACCCTCAGATTAAACACAAACCCAATCAAAATCCCA